GAAAACGTCCATACTACCCAAAGCCATGTACAGATTCAATGCAGTCCCTATCAAAATACAGACATTCTTCACAGAAATAGAAAAATTAATCCTAACATCCATATGGAACAATAAAAGACCTTGAATAGCCAAAACAATTCTGAGCAAAAAGAATAAAGCAGGAGGCATTATAATACCTAACTTCAAAAAATACTACAAAGCTATAATAACTGAAACAGCATGGTACTGGCATAAAAAAACAGACACAGATTAATTGAGAAGAATAGAGAACACTGAAATAAATCCACATACTTACAATCAACTGATCTTTGACAGAGGTGCTGACAATACATGCACAGGGAAAAGAACAGCCTCTCAATAAATGGTATTGAGAAAACTGGATATCCATGTGTCAGAGAATGTAATTAGACCCCTATCTCTCACCATATACAAAAACCAACTCATTAAAAACTTAAATATATTGCCTGAAAGTATAAAACTTCTACAAGAAAACATAGGGGAAATATTCTAACACAGGTTTGCACAAAAATTTTATAAATAAGACCTCAAAAGCACAGGCAACAAAGGCAAGAATAAACAAATGGGATTTTATCAAAATAAAAAGCTTTTGCACAGCAGAGGAGATAATGAACAGAGTGAAGAGACAACATGCAGAATGGGAGAAAATATCTGCAAACTCTGCGTCTGAGGTGGGACTAATATCTAGAATATACAAGGAACTCAGACAACTCAATAATAAAAAACCAAATAACCCTATTAAAAAATTGGCAATGGAGCTCAATATACATTTCTTAAATGAAGAAATACAGTCACCAACAGGTATATGAAAAATGCTCAATATCACTAATCATCAAGAAAAGGTAAATCAAAACCACACTGAGATACTATCTCACCCCAGTTAGGATGGCTAAAATCCAAAAGACGCTGAAAGATAAATGCTGGCGTGGTTGCGGAGAAAAAGGAACTCTCATACATTGTTGGTGGGAATGCAAAATGGTGCAACCCCTATGGAAAATGGTTTGGAGGTTCCTCAAACAGCGGAAGATAGATCTACCATACGATCCAGCTATCCCACGTAATAACTTCGTATAGCATACATTATACGAAGTTATACGACCTGTTATTAAATTTCTGACTTGCATCAGCTTGATTTATTTGAGCCCTGGTCTGTGATCCTGGGCTAATTTATAGTGATTAATTTATCATTCATGTCCTCATTGATTCCGAAAACCTATCCCCACCTCTTGAAAGTTTATTCCATACCAACTCACATGAACTTCTCTATTCGCACAGGCATACTTTTGGATTTCTTTACAGATTTGTGTGCGTGAACTGAAGAAAGAAAAATAATTTCGAGACAATTCAAGGTAACATCTTCCCAAGCATGCTAGGGTCAGGGAAAACTTTCGCATATATGCATGCATACATGTAAGGTTTCATGTACTAAGATACATAGAATACGAGGGCGAATATTCATTTTTTTCTTTCTTAAAAGAAAGGCTTTAGACCCGAACATCGGGGTCCTCCAGACCCAGGCGCCCCAACGGACTTTGTTGGTAAATTTCCTGTTTGAAACTGATCAGCCGGTTTCCAAGGAAAGATGGCGACGGGTCTGAGCGGCCTGCCAGGAGACAGCGCGATCCTGTGAGCCGTTTGCTGTGATACCAGAGTATTGTTTGCATTTCCAAGAGCAACAAAAGGCGAATAATTCTTTCAATAACTATCCTACATTGACAAACAAGTGGCAGCAGGTTCGAGGCTTTGGGGCCGACACAGAGGAGGACTCCTGAGAGCGCCCAAGCCCGGCTGCGGGAACGAGCGATCAGCCCAGTCATCAAAGGCCAGGAAAGCCAGCAAAGGACTCCACAGAAGCGGAGTGAAGCGCGCCAGACTGCCCCAGATCAGCGACCTCTATCCTATAGAACAAGAAGCCCTTGAAATGAATGACAGGGAATTTCGAGTGTTAATCCTAAAGAGACTGAACGAGATACAAGAAAACACAGCTAGACAACATGATGAAACCAGCTGCTGTACGGCCAAGTGATGGGACACAATAACTACATTGTATATTGACAAAATAAAAAAATAAATAAATAAACTAAAAAAATAAAATTAAAAAAAAAAACAAAACACTGAGATATCATCTCATCCCAGTTAGACTGGCTATTATGAAAAAGACAGAAGATAACAAATGCTGGTAAGGATAGGGAGAAAAGGGAACCCTTATGTATTGTTGGTGAGATTGCAAATTAGTACGGTCATCATGGGAAACAGTATGGAGGTTTCTCAAACAACTATAGATAGAACTACCATATGACCCAGCAGTCCCACTACTGGGTATATACCCAAAGTCATGGACATCATCATGTCAAAGAGATGTCACATGTTTATTGCAGTTCTATGCACACTAGCCAAGATATGGGATGAACCTAAATGTCTATCATTGGATGACTGGATAAAGAAAATGTGTTATGTGCTATTTTCTTTCTATATCTATCTGTCTATCATCTATCTATCTATCCACACACATACACATACATATAAAATACACACACACTCACATACAGAATAGAATACTACCCACCCAATAAAGAATGAAATTCTCCCATTCATAGCTGCATGGATAAACTTGGAGAAAATTTTAAGTGAAATAAGAGGCACAGGAAGAGAAATACTATACGTTCTCACTCATATGTGGGAGCTAAAACAGAAACAAAACCAAAAAACAAGTAAACAAAGAAATAATAATAATAATAAGTTGGACTGTTAAAAAGGAGAGAGTAGAACTGTGGTTCTACTGGAAAGCAGAGGAGGAGGGAGGAAAGTGAGAGGCTGGTTAATGGAAACAAAATTAAAGCTGGGTAGAAAAAATAAGTTCTAATGGTGTACAGTTGACCCAGGAATCTTGAACAATGGTTTACTGCATGTTATCAAATGACTAGACGAGGGGAGGTCATATGTTCATGTCACCAGGAAATGATTTTTTATAATGATGAATATGTTAATTACCCTGATTAGGTCATCACACATTGTATGCGTGTACATAAGTATAACTCTGTATGCCATAAATATGTACAATCAATATGTTTCAATAAAAATAATTAAAAGAAGAGTATAATGGATAAATAAAATGTGCTATGTTCATATAATGTAGTACTGTACCAGTAATAAAAATGCATGAACTACTGCTCCACACAGCCCTACATATGAATCTCACAATCATAATGTTGAGTGAAAGGAGCCATGCCCCCAAATCTGTAACATATACTTAATACAAAGACAGGAAAACTAACCTATGGTGTTAGAAGCTAGGATAATTGTTGTTGGGAATATGAAGAGAGAAGAGCAGTAACTGCTAAAAAGCAAGAGAGAGAGAGAGAGAGAGAGAGAGAGAGAAAGAGAGAGAGAGAGAAATTCTCTTCTGGCCTGTAGGGTTTCTGTAGAGAAATCTGCTGTTAGTCTGATGGGGACTTTTTTATAGGTGAATTGATCCTCTGCTCTTTCTGTTGTTAGGATTGTCTCCTTGTCTTTGACTTGTGACAGTTTGACTACAGTGTGTTTCAGAGCTTCCACATTTTCAACTATTTGTTTATAAGCAGCACCCCACTTCTCTGGTACCAATTTTCTGTATTAGCCCATTTCTGTTGCTTATAACAAAATACCTGGAACTGGGTAATTTATAAGAAAATGAAATTTATTGCTTACAGTTTCAGAGGCTGGGAAGTCCGAAGTCCAGGGAACACATCTGGTGAGAGCTTTCTTTGGTGTGACTTCAGTGGTTCAGGGTATCACACTGTGAAATGGAAGGGCAGAGAGAGACTAACCTCCTCATCCAGTCTCTTTTTATCGCCACCAGAGCCACTCCTATTATTCCAACAATGGATCAATCCATCCATGCTGGATTAAGCATCCATGGGGACTTAAGCTTCAATGAGGTTGGGAGGGTATCCAGTCTACAGCAAGGCCAATGTTTTATTTTAAGGGTCCCTGAAATAATTGTCACAATATCTGTAGGCCAAGACACTTTGTTCATCTCTGAGTTTCTCCAGCTTGTTGTGGTCATTGTACCCTGTCTCAGTTACGCACCCCTACATGGCCTATAGCACTGCTAGTCCTTTTGGCTTCAGATAACCAAATTCTACTGCACTATCTGCAGCCATCATCTCCATTCCACAAAAAACAATCACTAGAGATTTTTGACGATATTGGTGTGCCTTCTACCAAAACATTTCTTAATGTCTTGGTGAAGGACGTGTCCTTCCAGTCCTCTCTGAAGGTTTGGTTAGGGGCGGCTGCTGAACAGGTCGAACCTAATCGATTCACTCAATATTCCTCCATTCCTGAGTCCCAGCACTTCTTTAAACTGCTAGTCCTTTTGGCTTCAGATAACCAAATTCTACTGCACTATCTGCAGCCATCATCTCCATTCCACAAAAAACAATCACTAGAGATTTTTGACGATATTGGTGTGCCTTCTACCAAAACATTTCTTAATGTCTTGGTGAAGGACGTGTCCTTCCAGTCCTCTCTGAACAGGTCGAACCTAATCGATTCACTCAATATTCCTCCATTCCTGAGTCCCAGCACTTCTTTAGATCAGAGCTGTTGTAGGAAATTAGGATTAAGGATACACACACACACACACGCACACGCGCGCACACACACACACACACACACACACATATATATATATATAGCCAAAAGTCTAATGTAAATTTTCTTCATCAAAAACAGTCCTTTTATATAGTTAAGGTAGCTACCTAAGATTTATGTTAGGTGTTCAATTATTAAATTATGGCAAAGCTTGGCACAGATTCAATATGTTTATATCTTGGTAAAACTTCATTAGAATAGTTTCAGCTTTTTACCTGTTTAAGGCACCATATCTCTCTTTTCTTAAGTATCTGATAAAACAATTAAAATGTTCAGAATTAGAAGAATTTTTTTTACCACCCTCCATAAATTGTCTGTCCTTTGAATTTTATTTGTTATTGTTGTAGTATCCCAAGGAGATAACTTTGGAGGCATTTTCAGTTATTGTCACCCAGATGCTGGGACTCAATCTGGGAATATCATATGATGACCCAAAGAAATGTCAATGTTCAGAAGCTATTTGTGTAATGAATCCAGAAGCTATGTAAGTTTTCTAAAAAGATTTACTTATTGATTAGTTTTATTTTGTTTTAAATATGTGAATTGTGAAAATTTATTATTTTCTTGCAGCACAAATTAACTATAAATGGACCAAGTTCACTATGAAATATAAACATGCAATTTTACATATAGGATTAGTATGGAAGGAGGTGTACCATTAAAGACAATCAAGTAGTATACATTAGCAAAAGAATTTTCCTTAGACTGTGTATTTTATGAAAGCATTTAATTAAGTGCTTATGTCAGCAGGCCATAATAAGTGGATTTTGTTTTAGACAAAAATTTTTCTTTTTTTACACAGAAATTATTTAAAAAATAGAATGGGGCTTATAAAGTTCATATTTTCTGTCTGAAAATTATCCAAGTAGGTATCTAAATATGTACCCTTTATCTATCAAATAATATATTTGATAGATAAATTATATTATTATATTATTCAGACCATCATCTTTTATTTTTCTTGTTTGGTATGTAAGGAACTTAAAGACATATGCCATTCTCAATTTCTCTTTATTTATCTAATAGTTTTTGATTTACGCACTTCGACATAATGATGTTTAGGACATAAATCTCTATGATTCATATTTTTACTGCGAGTTGCATTACTTATTAGAATAAAATGACATTCTATGCACTTTGCTGTCTTTTGGTTGGGAATGATATACAGTGACAACTCCTTGACAGAATTTTTACTGTTCACTGTATACACGGCTATTAGTGAAGAAATGAACAATTTTCCTTTGTCTTTGTTTAAATTTTAAAATCTCCCATTTCATTTTTGTTTGCCCGATATTATTATTATTATTTTAGATTTTAGATGATTTATTACATACTTGTGGGGTAAAACGTTGATCTTCAATAATTGTGTACAATGTGTGATGGTTAGATCAGGATAGTTCGCTTGTTCACCATTGCAATACGCGATCATTCTTTGTGTCCATTGACCAATTCCTCAATGGTCCCTCTCTTTCCCCCCCCCTCCTCTTTTCCACCTCTGGTAACCACAGTTCTTTTCTCTCTTTCTAAAAGTTCAACATTGCTCTGATCATAGTTTCTTTCTCTCTGTCTCTCTTTATTGCTTTTTTTGTTTAATTATAGATTCAGCTCACAGTTACGACTGAGCACCTGAAGTATTTCTCCTTCTGTACCTGGGTTGTTTCACTTAGGATAATTTTTTGCAGGCTCATAACGTTGCTGCAAATAGTAGAATTTTATTTGTTTTATGGCTGAGTAGCATTCCATTGTCCATATATATATCACAATTTCCTTATCCAGTTATTCATCAGTGGACATTTATGTTGGTTCCATCACCTGGCTATTGTAAATAGAGCTGCAATACACATGGGAGTGCAGGTGTCCCTTCGACCTGATGATTTCCATTCCTCTGGATATATCCCCAGTAGTGGGACTGCTGGACCGTATGGAAGTTCTACCTGTAGTTGTTTGAAGAACCTCCATGCTGTTCTCTACAATGGCTGTAAATTACAGTCCCACCAACAGTGCAGAAAGGTTCCTCATTCTCCATATTCTCACCAGCATTTATTATTTTGTGTCTTTTTTATAATAGCCAGTCTGATTGTGGTGAGGTGATATCTCAAAGTGGTTTTGATTTGCATTTCCCTGATGATTAGTGATGTTGAGCATTTTTTCATATATCTGTTGGCCATTTGTACATCTTCCTTTGAGAAATGTCTATTCAGCTCCTTTTCATATTTTTTAATTGGGTTATTATTTATTTATTTGTTGTGAAGTTGTTTGAGCTCTTTGTATATTCTAGATATTAATCCCTTGTCAGATGCATAGTTTGAAGATATTTTCTTCCATTCTGTAGGTTGTCTTTTCATGCTGTTGATTGTTTCCTTTGCTGTGCAGAAGCTTTTTAGTTTGATATAATTCCATTTGTTCATTTTTTCATTTGTTGCCTGTGCTTTTGGGGTGTTATTCATAAAGTCTTTGTCCTAAACCCTGGAATGTTTCCCCTATGTGTTCTTCTAGGAGTTTTTAAGTTTCAGGTCTTATATTTAAGTCTTTAATCCATTTTGAATTGATTTTGTTATATGGTGAGAGGTACAGATCAAGTTTCATTCTTCTGTATATGGATATCCAGTTTTCCCAGCACCATTTGTTGAAGAGGCAGCCTTTTCCCCAGTGTCTGTTCTTGGTTAATCCATTTTGAATTGATTTTGTTATATGGTGAGAGGTACAGATCAAGTTTCATTCTTCTCTATATGGATATCCAGTTTTCCCAGCACCATTTGTTGAAGAGGCAGCCTTTTCCCCAGTGTCTGTTCTTGCTGTCCTTATCAAAGATCAGTTGGCTATAAATACGTGGGTTGATTTCTGGGTTCTCTGTTCTGCTCCATTGGTCCAAGTGTCTGTTTTTATGCCAGTACCATGCTGTTTTTGTTACTGTAGATTTATAACATAGTTTGAAGTCAGGAAGTGTAATGCCTCCAGCTTGAATTTTTTTGCTCGGGATTGCATTGGCTTTTCAGGGTCTTTCTATAGATTCAATGTAATCTCCATCAAAATACCTCTGACGTTCTTCACAGAAATAGAAAATGCAATCCTAACATTCATGTGGAACAACAATAGACTAAATTTCTGTTTTTGCTTTTAGAGTAGTTTTATGATGTGGAAAAACTATCATTCAAAGAATAAGAAGTCATAGTTGGAGACCAAAACCAAATATATAATATTTGTGTGACTTTGGGAAAATGACTTGGACGTTGCTTAGACTTACTTTTCTCATCTTTATATGGGAATAGTTATGCCTATTCTCTTATTTCACAGGGTGATATAAGAATAAAATGATAAAGTAACAACAACAACAAAAGAATAAAATGATAAAGTAAAGTGGGAAAGTGTTCTCTAAACTATGAAATCCCGTAAATCTGTGATAGATTAGCTATGGTAATTTCTAAACTTACCAATTTCCCTAAGTAGTATATTAGAGAAGAGCTACAGCAGGTGTTCTTAGTATTCTGTAGTTCCTCTGTTTGTGAAAATGGACTGTGATAGGTATGACCTCCTCATTATTGAAGAACAATCAAATGTCAAAAGTGAAAATCAGGCATTAATTTTAAAAAACATGCTCTTTTCATAGTTACTCCTAAGCACCACCTAAAGCTTAACTCTTATGTTCTAAAAATAACTCACTCAAACATAAATACACACACACAAACATATACACACACACATATAATTATATTACAAATTATCTCTAAAAAGATAGACATTTTGCCTAAGGCCTCAGAAGTCACAGGGTTGGTACTAGTCAACAAATTTATCTAATTTCAAAGCCTTTTTCTTATTTCTACTCCACACTTACTTCATTTAGTAGACAGTTAATATATTGGGATTAGCTTAAACCAAGTAGCGAGAGAACATTAGTATGTATTGGTACAAATTTCATCCTTATATTTCAGTGCTTTTGTCAATATATCTTTTTGATGATTTAATTTATATCAACTTTTTAAAAATGGGAAGTTCATGTAATAAAGCCTCACTTTACTTTTTAAAACATATATTAAAATGTATTTTAAAGCTACAGCAATTGTGTAGCATGGCACTGGCTCAAGAACCAGTCAGCATCAATGGCACATAACTGACTACTCTAAAACCAACCTTACTATGGGTATAAAAGCAACATGAGGTGAAAAGAAGCATTGCAAATCAATGGCAAAGGGTTGGATTAACCAATGGTGTTGAGAAAATTGACTACTTGTAAGACAATCATTTTAGATATTTATTGTTTTCTCAAGTAGATTTAGATAAATTATAGCACTAAATATAAGAAACCTCATAACAATAGATAAAAACATAAGTGAATTTTTAAATAATCTTAGAGTGGGTAAAACCTATCGAAGCTTTATTATTTTTAATTAATTAATTTTAATTGAACATATTGATAGGGTACAAAGTTATATTTCAATACCTGTGTACAGTATGTGATGATCAAATGAAGGTGATTAGGTTTGGAGAGGATGGAGCTCTGGAGTGAGACCAAAACCTAAAGAGAAAAATAGCAGCTTAAATAAGAGAAGGGTGTGACTGCACTGGCTAAGACCACCACTGCAGTATTGAATTGGACTGGTGAAAGCAGAAATACTGGTCCAGACCCCTGCCCCACCTGCAGGAGGAAGGACCCTGCACCATACCACCACCAATGGGGGAGGCACCCAGGCAGGCAGAACAGGCCAGCCACCCGCCAGACCCCTGCCCTGCCTGTGCAGAAGGCAGGACCCTGCGCTGTACGGCTGTTGATGGGGGTGGCACCCAGGCAGGCAGGAGAATAGGACAGCCACCCACCCAGGCCCACCCTGCCCATGCATCATGCCTCTGCAGGAGGCTTCACACAGCTACCATGGAGGTGGTCTACCACAGCCACCACCACAGCTAATACTGTTATAAGGACAGCTTGCTGCCTTACTAACATCCATGACCACTGTGCAGGTGGCCTGCTATATATTTGACTTCACTGACACAAGGAGTCACTGGACAAGCCTGGAAAAAGAGGGCAAAGTCTTTCTCCTCAAAGTCCATTCCAGAGTAAAAGAGGCAGCTGATCTACCAGATGATCAAAAGTCAGTGTAGAGATACTAGAAATATGAAAAAATTAGAAAATATGACACCGCCAAAGAAATTTAGTAACTCTCAAGTACCAGACATTACAGAACAGGAAATCCTTGAAATGACTGAGAAGGATTTCTGAGTAACTATCTTAAGGAAACTCAATGAGATAACAAAGGACTGTGTAAGACAACACAATGAAATGAGAAAAAATATCCAGGATGTGATGGATGAAATTTACAGAGATTAATACCATAAAAAGGCTGTAGTGAACTCCTGAAACTGAAGGACACATTCAATGAAATAAAAACACAACTGAGGGCTTAAGCAGCAGATTAGAACAAGCTGAAGAAAGAATCTCTGAACTCAACGATGGTCTTTATGAAACAACTCAGGCAGAAAACAAAAAAGAAAAAAGAATTTAAAAAAATGAATAATCTCTAAGAAAGCTAGCATACAACCTGAAATGTACGAACCATGGGTATATTTGTCCTTTTTTGTGTGTTGCTATAACAGAATACCTGAGACTGGGTAATTTATAAAGAACAGAGGTTTATTTGGCTCATGATTCTGGGACAGCTGCATCTGGCATGGGCCTCAGGCTGCTTCTACTCATGGCAGAAAGTGGCAGGGAGCCGGTGGGTATAGGCAGATAACATGGCGAGGGGAAGCAAGAGAGAGAAGCAAGAGAGAGAGACAGAGACATACAGAGACAGAGACAGAGAGAGGTGAGAGAGAGATGAGAGAGACAGAGTGAGAGAGAGAGCCGAAAGGTGCCAGGGTGTTTTAAACAACCATCTCTCATGGGAACCAATATAGTGAGAACTTACTATGTCCACCCCCCAGGGAGAGCATTAATCCAGTCATGAGGGATCTGCCCCCATGACTCAAACAGCTCCCAGCACTACCACATTAGAGATCAGATTTCCACATGAGTTTTGAGGGGACAATGACATCCGAACTCTCTCAATGGGTGTTCCTGAAGGGGAGGAGAAAATAAAGGCATTGAAAATCTATTCAGTTAAATAATTATGGAAAAATTCCCAGATATAGGCAAAGACTCAGACCTTCAGATGCAGGAAGCTCAAAGATCCCTAAACAATTTCAATCCAAAAAATTCTCTCCAAGACACATTTTCGTCAAACTGGCAAAGGTCAAAGACAAAGAGAATTCTAAAAGCAAGAGAAAAGTGTCAAGTTGCTCATATGGGAGCCCTCATCAGACTAACAGCAGGCTTCTCAACTGAATCTCTATAGGCCAGAAAAAATGGCAGAATACCTCTCAATAACAACCCCAAATGTAAATAGATTAAACTTCTCACTCAAAAGACACAGACTCATGGATTGGATTAAAAAGCTAAACCCAACTATATGCTGTCTTCAAGAGATTTACCTCATCTGTAAAGACACACACAGACTAGCAGTGGAGGGATGGAAAAAGATATACCACACAAATGGAAACCAAAAATAAGCAGAAGTAGCTTTCTTATATTGGATAAAATAAACTTTAAACCAAAATCCATAAAAACAGACAAAGAAGGCCACTATATAATGAGAAAGGGATCTATCCACCAAGAAGACATAACAATCATAAATAAATATGCTCCTAACAGCAGAGCACCTAGATATATAAAGCAAACACTATTAGACACAAAGAAAGAGATAGACCCAAATAAATCATAATAGTGGGGGCCCTGAACACCCCTCTCTCAGCACTGGACAGATCATCCAAGCAATGAATCAACGGAGAAACAAAGGATTTATACTACATTTTAGACCAATTGAACCTGGCAGATATCTACAGAACACTTCATCCAACAACTACAGAATATATCTTCTTCTCATCAGCACATGGAAAATTCTCCAGGATAGACAACATGTTAGGCCACAAATCAATTCTTACCAAATTTAAAATATCAAAATCATCTCAAGTATTTTTTCAGACCACAATGGATTAAAATTAGAAATTAATAACAAGCAAAATTTGAGACACCATAAAAATACATGGAAATTAAATAACAGGCTCCTGAATAACCAAGAAGAAGTTAAAGTGGAAATGAAAAAATTTCTAGAAAACAACAAAAATAAAGACTCATATCAAAACATTTGGGATGCTTTAAAAGCAATACTAAGAGGGAAATTTATAGCAATAAATGCTTACATTAAAAAATAGATTTCAAGTAAACAACCTAACTCTGCACCTGAAAGAACTAGAAAAACAAGAACAATCCATTCCAAAGTTAGTAGACAGAAAGAAATAATTAAGATTAGAGTAGAATAAAATAATAGAGACTCCCCCAAAATACAAAAAATCAATGAAAAAAAGTTGTTTTTTTGATAAGATAAACAAAATAGACAAACCATTAGCTAGGTTACCAAAATTAAAAATTAAATATTAAAAAAAGAGGGAGAAGACCAAAATAACAAAAATCAGATGTGAAAAAGGAGACATTACAACTGATTCCACAGAAATAAAAAAATCATTATAGACTATTATAAACAACTATATGCCAACAAATACGAAACCTGGAGGAAGTGGATAAATTTTTGGACACATACAAACTACCAAGACTGAATCATAAAGACACAGAAAACTTCAACAGACCAATAACAAACAATGAGATTGAAGCAGTGATCAGCAATCTCTCAACAAATAAAAGCCCAGGACCAGATGGCTTTACTGCTGAATTCTACCAAACATTTAAAGAGTTATTATTACCAATTTTCTTCAAATTATTCCAGAAAATTGAAACAGTCACCACTCTCCCAAACTCATTCTGTGAGGCCAGCATCACCTTGATACCAACACCAGACAAAGATACTGCAATCAAAGAAAACTAGAGACCAGTATCTCTGATGAACATAGACACAAAAATCCTCAATAAAATACTAGCAATCAGAATATAGCAACACATCAAAAAATTTTTTTATTTTGGCAGGGCCAGCATCACACCGCATCACCCTTTCTGCTCTCATACTGGGGCTCCTCTTGGTTGGGTGTTCAGGTTCTCAAAGGGACGGGTGAGTCAAGGCCACAGATACCAGGACTGAATTGTGCGGTCTCCACACCCAGGCTGCCAGCCAGGAAGGGTAGGGGCTTTCTGAGGATCCTGGGAGCAACACAGAAAAGCTCTTTTGTCTAGTGGGCATGGACAGGAAGGCACTGGGTGGTCCCCAATGCCACAGCTCTGGATGAGCAGGAGACCCCCAGACAGCCAAAGCACAGCACGTCCCAGTGGTCACATCAGAAGGCCAGCTTTAACACTGGTGGATGTCTCACACTTGCCTAGACTTCAACTGCTTTGAGAGAAGCTCCTTGCTGGCCCTTAAGCCAATCAGTTAATGGAGTGAGAACAAGAGATGACCTTCTAGCTGGTTTTGGAGGCTCTGTTTCTGTCCCCAGAAGAGATGGGACTTCTTGTAACCTCTTACAGGAAAGAGCCCATAGTGGAATTGTAGGCACAATTTCAAGTACCTCCCTATGGGGCAGGCACTATCAGTGTGCCCATTTTACAGATGGGGAAATTGAGGTTCAGAAGTCGCAGCTACTTTCTACTTCTACGAGTTCAACTTTTTAAAATTCCCTTTATAAATGAGATCATACAGTATTTTTCTTTCTGTGCTTGGCTTATTTCACTTAGCATAATATTCTCTAGGTTCATCCATGTTTTTGCAAATGACAGAATTTCTTTCTTTTAAAAGGCTGAATAGTATTACATTATGTGTATATATCACATTTTCTTTATCCACTTATTCACTGATGGGCAGTTAGGTTGTTGCTATATCTTGGCTGTTGTGAATTTCTACAGCACAATGACAATAGTTAGTAATAATGTACTGTTATTTGAAATTTGCTATAAGAGTGGATTTTAAATGTTTTTTTCAGCAAAATAATAAGTGTGTGAGGTGATGATTATGCTGATAAGTTTGATTTAATTATTCTGTAACATATACAATACATCCATATAATGCATAAATCAGAACATCACATTGTACCATAAATGTATACAATTTAAAAAATAACCATGTGAATACTCATCCTGCCAATTTACAAGCTGTTTGACTTTTGTGGTTTTTAGCTTCTCTGAACTTTAGTTCAATTTCTATAAAATGTTAATGATGATACCAGTTTCCTTGGTTTGTGGTGAGGGTTAAACAATCAAGTATATAAAATGTGTGGCTCATAATAAGTGCTCAGTAAGTGTCAATTTCCTCCTTGCTTTACAGTGTTTGCTACATATTGAGACTGACATCCTATGGAAATATTCTCTGAGGTTATCTTTATTAGTGATATATGCACATAATTACATAAAGTTTTGATAAATATACAGTTTCTTTGAGATCTTTGAGGAATTTCAGGACTAATTATGGTATCATTAGTTTAATAAAAGTTTGCTGTTAATTGGGTGTTAATTTTCAATTGGAGAAATGTCTATTCAAGTCCTTTGCATATTTTTTAAATGGTTTTTTTTTTTTTTTTTGCTATTATGCTGTAATTAGTTTTGTTTTAATAAGAACATGTATTCCAGTGAATGAATGATTTTGGTCTCTAAGCACTTATTATAAACATTAATACCTATTAAATTTAACATTTTGAAATGAATTTGTATAATATAGAATTGTGTCATCGGTATACTGCTATTGACAGTATATGGGTTTATTTTTAGGCAATCCAGTGGTGTGAAGACTTTTAGCAATTGCAGTTTGAGCAACTTCGAAAGTTTCATTTCAAATATAGGTGCCAAATGTCTTCAGAATAAGCCACAAATGCAAAGAAATCCGAGACCAATCTGTGGTGATGGCAAAGTGGAGGGACATGAAATCTGTGATTGTGGTACTGCAGTAGTAAGTTCTGAATACCAGGAAAATTGATTAATAAATTTATTGTTTTAGTTCATCTCTTTTTCATAAATGTTATGTATCTCAAATATGGCTGAGTACCATGCAGAATATTGACAGTAAGTGAAATTAGGTTGAAATACACACAAGAAACTACTGTCTAGGTTTTACTAGGTTAAAGAGTTTTGGACAAGTTTAAAATGTTCTGCAAAAAAGTTTTTCATGATGGGAAAAAAAAGAGTCTATAATAAGCTTTTGGATTCCAGATTAAATATATAAGATCTTTCCAAATCTCTGCTTAAACTTTGGACATTTCATAAGCGTCTTACTGAAAATTAATGTGTCAGCATCCTGTTAGTGTTCATGTGTCCTTCGCAATGGAATCACTAGTATGGTGAGGGAATCTCTATTAATAATGCGGTTTAGGTTATAATGCTTTATGAAAATTCAGTGTTTTCTGCAATACTGCAGATATTATATATTTCCCTGATAGAACTGATATTAGAGTTATATTCATAGGTCTGAATTACACATACCTATATCACATTGTTTTAATTATTGTCTTTGTATTCTTATTAGTAAGTTGTTTGAATTCCTTATATATTTTGGATATTAGCCCCTTGTCATGTGTATGGTTTGCAAATATTTTCTCCCAATCCCTGGTTTGTTTCTTCACTCTGTTGTTTCCTTAGCTGTATGGAAGCTTTTTGTTTGTTTGCTGTCAGCCCAATTGTTTATCTTTGTTTATGTTGTCAGTGCTTTTGAGGTCATATCCAAGAAATCATTGCCCAGCTCAATGTCATGGAGATTTTCCTCTGTTATCTTCTGGTTGTTGCATAATTTCAGGTCTTACATTTAAATCTTTAATTTATTTTGAGTTGAATTTTGTTTATGTTGAGATTTATAAGGGCCTAATTTTATTCTTCTCTATGTGGATGTCTATTTTTCCTAACACCATTTGATGAGGGGACTGTTATTTCCCCAATGTGTGTTCTTGGCACCTTTGTTGAAAAACAGTTGGCTGTAAATGTTTGGATTTATTTCTGGGCTCTTTGTTCTGTTACATTGGGGTATGTGTCTGTTTTTATTCCAGTACCACAATGTTTTGCTTAATGTAGCTTTATAGTTTATTTTGAAGTCAGGTAGTGTAATGCCTCCAGTTTATTCTTTTTGCTCTTCATTGCTTTGATATTTGGGGTATTTTGAGGTTCCATATAAATTTTTATTTTAAAAAAATTTTTCTGTGATGAATGTCATTGGTATTTTGAGAGGGACTGCATAGAATCTGTAGATTGCTTTGAGTAGTATGGACATTAACAATATTAATTTTACCAATTCATACACAGGGGATCTTAAAAATTTGTATCTTCTTCAGTTTCCCTTATCAATATTTTATAGTTTTCATCGTTGAGATTATTTTTACCTCTGTGGTTAAATTTATTTTTAAGTATTTTATTTGTTTTGTAGCTATTGTAAATGAGATTTCTAAAAAATTTCATTTTTCAGATAGTTTGCTATTAGAGAGTAGAAATGCTATCGATTTTTGTATGTTGATTTTGTATCCTGCAACTCTACTAAATTTTTTAATTAGTTGTAACAATTTTTCTTGATGGAGTCTTTAGGGTTTTCTGTATATAAGATCATGTCATCTGCCAACAGAGGTAATGTAACCTCTTTGTTTTTAATTTGGATGCCTTTTAATTCTTTCTCTTGTGTAATTGCTATAGCTAGAACTTCCAGTACTAGTGAAAGTGGGCATCTTTGCCTTGTTCCAGACCTTAAAAAAACCCTGCAACTTTTTCCCATACAGTATGGTGTTAGCTGTGGATTTGTTGTATATGGAATTTATTGTGTTGAGGTACTTGCCTTTTATACCTAATTGTTGAGAGTTCTTATCAGGAAAGAATATTGGATTTTGTCAAGTGCTTTGTGTACATCTATTGAAAGGATCATATGGTTTTTGTATTTCATTCTATTAATTATAATGTATCATGTTTTTAAATTTGCATATGTTGAACTATTTTGGCATCCCTGGGATGAATCCTGCTTGATCATAGTGAATGATCTTTTTAATGTACTGCTGAACTTGGATTGCAAGTAACTGTTACAAATCGTTGCATCTATGTTCATCAGGGATATTGGCCTGTAGTTTTCTGTTTTCCTTGTGCCCTTGCCTGGTTTTGATATCAGGGAAATGCTGGCCTCACAGAATGAGTTTGGAAGAATTTCCTCCTTTTTAATTTTTTGAAACAGTTTGAGGAGATTTGCTATTAGTTCTTCCTTAAACGTTTGGTAGAATTCAGCAGTGAAGCAATCAGGTCATGGGCTTTGCTTTCATGGAAGACTTTATTACGTATTCAGTCTCTTTATTCATTACTGGTCTTTTGAGATTTTGCATGTCTTTATTGTTCAGTCTTGGTAAGTTTTAATTGTTCAGAAATTTATCCATTTTTTTTTAGGACATCCAATTTGTTGGTGTGTACTTTGTGTACTTGTCCCCAGTAGTCTCTTATTTTCGTATTTCTATAGTATCAGTTGTAATGTCTTCTTTTTTATTTTTTATTTTATTTGGTTGAGTCTTCTCTATTTTTCTCAGTCTAGCTAAATTTTGTTTTTCTTTAAAGAAAAACTGTTTGTTTTGTGGGTCTTTTATATTATTTTTTGATTCTCTATTTCATATATTTTTGCTCTAATCTTTATTATTTCCTTTCTTTTACTAATTTTGAATTTCCTTTGTTCTTGTTTTTCTAGTTTCCTAAGGTGTAATGCTATGTTGTTTATTTGCAATTTTTCTTTTTTTGACAGTTTTTGTCATTGAAATATAATTGATTATACATATTTCTGGGGTACAGATTTGAATATCAGTACTTATATACAATATATGGTGATCAAATCAAGATAATTAGTATACTCATGTTTACAAAACTCTCTGTGAGCGTTAACCAGTTTCTCACTAACCCCCACTCCCTTTCCCACCACTAATAATCACAGTTCTGTTATTTCTGAAAGTTCAACGTTTTACTGGGATGGTTGTTTCTATATTTTCTTTTTTCCTTCCTTCCTTCCTTCCTTCTTTCTTTCTTTCCTTCATTCCTTCTTTCCTACCTTTTAGCTTCCACTTATGAGTGAGAACTTGAGGTTTTTCTTTTTCTGTGCTTGGCTTATTTCACATAAAATAATTTTCTCTAAGTTCATTCATGTTGCTGTGAATGGCAGAATTTCACTCTATTTTTTATGTCAGAGTAGTATTCCACTAGTATTTTCTTCTTTTTTGATGTAGGAGTTTATTACTCTAGACTTTCCTCTTACAAATGCTTTTGAAGTATGTTATATGTTTTGTTATATTGTGTTTCCATTGGTATTTGTCTCAAGAAACTTTAAAATTTCCCTTTTAATTTCTTCATTGACAAATTAGTTGTTCAGGAGCATGTTGTTTAATTCATATGCATTCGTACAATTGCAAAATTCTGTTATTAATTTCTAGTTTTATACCACTGTGGTCAAAACCATACTTGATATGATTCCAATCTGCTTAAATTTCTTGACTTGTTTTGTGGTCTAAAATATGATTTATCCTGGAGAATGTTTCATGTGCTGTTGAGAACAATCTGTACTTTGTTGGAGTGCTCTGCTTCTTTCTTAGGTCCATTTGGTCGAGAGTTCAATTTAAATGTGATGTTTCTTTGTTGATTTTCTGTGTGGATGATCTGTCCATTGCTGGAAGTGTGGCATTTAAATCCCATACTTAATCTTGTATTTCAGCCTATCTCTCCCTTTATTTATTGATATTTATTATTTATTATTTATTTATTGATACTTGCTTTACATATTAGGTGCCTGAATGTTGGGTACATATATGTTTACCCTTGTTATATCCTCTTCCTGAATTGACCCCTTTATCATTACGTACTGACATTTGTCTTTTTTAATGCTTTAACTCAGTCTGTTTTATCTGATATAATTATAGCTACTCCTGCTCTCTTCTGGTTTCCATTTACATGGAATATCTTTTTTCATCACTTCACTTTTATTCTTTGTGTGTCTTTACTGGTGAAGTAAGCCTCTTGTAGGCAGCATATAGGTAGGGTTTTGTTTTGTTTTCTTACTTATTCAGGTACATTTTCTCTTTTAATTGGAGAATTAATTCTTTTACATTCAAGGTAATTCCTGATAGGTAAGGACTTATTACTGCCATTTCATTAATTGTTTTTAGTTGTTTTATGTATTCTTTCTTCTTTTCCTCTCTTACTGTCTTGTGGTTAAATTTTTTTTTCTAGAAATTTGTTTTGATTTCTTGCATTTTACTTTTAATGTGTAAATTACAGTTTTTGCTGTGTTTACCATGAGACTTACTAAAACATTTTATAGTTATATCAGAGTATATGAAGTAAATAACCACCTATGTCAGCACTGAAAAATAAACAGACAAAACCTATGCCCTTTAACTCCATCCCCCCACATTCTGAATATTTGATGTAACAATTTACATCATTTTATATTGCGTATTTCTTAACAAATTGTTGTAGTTATTATTATTTTCAATATTTTTGTCTTTTGCCCTTCATAATAAGGATATAAGTGGTTTACACCACACCATTACATTGTAGAGCATTCTGTAATTTGACTTTATTACTCACCAGTGAGTTTTATATCTTCAGACATTTTTGTGTTACTCAGTAGCATCATTTTTCTCTCTGCTTGAAGAACTCCCCTTAGCATTCCTTGTAAGGCAGGTTTGTTGTTAATGAACTCCCTTAGCTTTTGTTTGTCTGGGAAAGTTTCTGAAAGACAGTTTTTCTGGATATAGTATTTTTGGTTGGCAACTTCTTTTTCCCTTCACCACTTTAAATATATTATCCCACTCTCTTCTGGCCTGTAAAGTTTTTGCTGAGAAGTTGTTGCTAGGAGTATTCGAAGTCCTTAATATGTTATTTGCTTTTTTCATGCTGCTTTCAGGATCCTCTCTTTGTTTTTGACCTTTGATAATTTGATTATGATATGTCTTG